TGATATTCTGGTGTATTTTAAAGGTCACAGTTGCATGGCATAAGTGCTGCATTGCGGCATCAGGCATCGAGCTCCTACTTATTATGTTACAAGTGCTACCGCAGGACACGGCTATAATTTTTATGACCATCTTTCGTTCATACACTTTTGCAATTATAAAATTCCTTTTACACCCTGTGGAATCTGATTTGACGTAAATTACCGGGCAACAGAAAGTTTACCAATTTCACTTTCATCTGAAAATCAAGATGATCCCAGAGATGGAAAACGCGCTGGTCAGGAGCAATACGTATGTTAACGTTGTGCAAAACAAATGAAAAAAATTTTGCTTTTCCCGCCATCAACTTAAGAAGAATCATGAGGTGTGTGTGTGTGTGTGTGTGTGTGTGTGTGTGTGTGTGTGTGTGCGTGTGTGTGTTCGTGTGCTAGTGCGTGTGTGTACGCGCGTGTGTGTGCGTGTGTGTGTGCGTGTGTGTATGGGGGGTGTTATAAAGGGTCACAATGAGACAGGAGTCACATCGATAGCGAGTGGACTTCCTTACACGCCAACACACATCTTCATTGATTGATGGCCACAGTCGGAGATGACGTCAGGAGGAATCCTGTTGTTTCAATGCAGTGGGAACAAGCTGTTTCATCTGAAAACCCCCACGAAGTTCAAACGAGTTCAAACGATTCACTAATTCACCCCAACTGGGGTGAAAAGTGGTTTCAACAGCTGTGCTGCGCTGCGCTGCACTGCGCTCATGGCGCATGCGCAGTGAATAGGATCGCGAAAAGGTTGGAAGCGGGATGTCCGAATTTTAAGGTCGTGAGCAGAGTCTAATCTTGGTTGTGTACACAAACAACAAATAGTAAATAATCTGCTCGTTACATACAAGAACCTTGTTAAGGATCTAGATCTACTCAGCTATGTGTCAAACAGTGAGACGTTCGACATTTCAAGACGGAAAATCTTCGCTGGCGGTGTAGTACTCGGAGTAGGTTTTGATTTGAGCTATTTTCTAATATTTTGTTGATATGTCACCGGCGCAAGCTATTTATATGTTATGACATTAGATTGCCGATTTAACTGTTAAATAATTTCATTTGACTATTTCACCACACGTTCTTCTTACCGAGTGACTTTCTCAGTTCCAAACTTGAAAGCAACGTCATTATATAGCATTGTCTGTATTTCTAACTGTGATAAAACATGTGCCTCTGTCACAGACAAACTCAATGTCTGTTTTATTGAAACCTATGTGTCCGGCTGCCTGCCTGCTAATGACAATATGCAATACACAACATCGATCACTGACCACATGCAATTTGAACTTCACACCTATCAGGCTATATACCATAAACAAAACGGATTGATTTATGGCTCGTGCACCCAAGTTATGTCTCTGTCACAATGTGTAATTACACAGACAGGCACGTGTGATTATTGTACACATAACATGTTATGATATCTATTGATTGCTCAATGTTATACACACAAAAATGAGCATCTATTTACAAAACCCAACATCTCTATACACACACAAAGAGCCCTCAGTGTATAAGCAAATGAACCAACCAATGAAAGCCTTCGTTACACTTAAGTGCACGCCCACCTGCTCTGACTGGGTGCGGTATCTCGGTTGCTTCGTTTCGAGGGAAGTAAACCCAAGTACAAAATATTGCACTTTTAATAGCGAGTGGACTTCCTTACACGCCAACACACATCTTCACATTGATTGATGGCCACAGTCGGAGATGACGTCAGGAGGAATCCTGTTGTTTCAATGCAGTGGGAACAAGCTGTTTCATCTGAAAACCCCCACGAAGTTCAAACGAGTTCAAACGATTCACTAATTCACCCCAACTGGGGTGAAAAGTGGTTTCAACAGCTGTGCTGCGCTGCGCTGCACTGCGCTCATGGCGCATGCGCAGTGAATAGGATCGCGAAAAGGTTGGAAGCGGGATGTCCGAATTTTAAGGTCGTGAGCAGAGTCTAATCTTGGTTGTGTACACAAACAACAAATAGTAAATAATCTGCTCGTTACATACAAGAACCTTGTTAAGGATCTAGATCTACTCAGCTATGTGTCAAACAGTGAGACGTTCGACATTTCAAGACGGAAAATCTTCGCTGGCGGTGTAGTACTCGGAGTAGGTTTTGATTTGAGCTATTTTCTAATATTTTGTTGATATGTCACCGGCGCAAGCTATTTATATGTTATGACATTAGATTGCCGATTTAACTGTTAAATAATTTCATTTGACTATTTCACCACACGTTCTTCTTACCGAGTGACTTTCTCAGTTCCAAACTTGAAAGCAACGTCATTATATAGCATTGTCTGTATTTCTAACTGTGATAAAACATGTGCCTCTGTCACAGACAAAACTCAATGTCTGTTTTATTGACACCTATGTGTCCGTCTGCCTGCCTGCTAATGACAATATGCAATACACAACATCGATCACTGACCACATGCAATTTGAACTTCACACCTATCAGGCTATACACCATAAACAAAACGGATTGATTTATGGCTCGTGCACCCAAGTTCTGTCTCTGTCACAATGTCTAATTACACAGACAGGCACGTGTGATTATTGTACATATAACATGTTATGATGTCTATTGATTGCACAATGTTATACACACAAAAATGAGCATCTATTTACAAAACCCAACATCTCTATACGCACACAAAGAGCCCTCAGTGTATAGGCAAATGAACCAACCAATGAAAGCCTTCGTTACACTCAAGTGCACGCCCACCTGCTCTGACTGGGTGCGGTATCTCGGTTGCTTCGTTTCGAGGGAAGTAAACCCAAGTACAAAATATTGCACTTTTAATTTGCGATTGTACGCTTTTGTTTATGTGTTTATTTGTTTTTTCATAATCAGAAATGTATATCATGTGTCATGAATAAATGATACTTGTGTTTTAATTATGTTTGTTCTTTTGGTTGCATGTGGCCTTTAAGTTCCTTTTAGTTGTATCATTCAAAATGCATTCAAGAAGTTTTTGATTAATGAGCCAAGAGTTACCTTTCCATATCTGTCAAAGGGGGGTAAAGCTGGGGTCATTCATTTCATGCCGTGTGCTCTCAGGATACACATGGTCTAATCCCCAATAATCCATTATATATTCAATGTGTTAAATTAATTGAGTACTCCTGATATTTATTCTTAATTGCCATTGAATTTTCCCATGGTTAAATATTAAGATAGATTTTCATCTCTTCCACTCAATCTGCATTTGCAAACTGAGCATTCAAGAAAGTAGATAAAAAAAATACGAAAACAAGAATAAAGCACAATAATGAAACACACGTGACTTGGTTATTACAATTTCAATGTCAAAACAGTTCAATATCTTTTTAATTACCATTTAGGTTTTGTATACATTGTAATTGTAAACTAAAGTTTGATCATTGGTTTGTAAATGGATAAATCTTTTCAAATCGGCAACTCTTGTCTTCACCACCATATCAACTATTAAACTAGTCGTGGATTTAACATTAACTAGATTTAAGAAGTATAATACAAATGAACTCACTTATCAACAAGTGTATCATGAGTGAAGAAAGACACAACTCTAGGTTTACAGACGGAGGGATCTTGCACCATCGTTCTTGGGTTCAGGACTTTATCAATACCAGACAGCTGCTTCTTTCTACGGCCGAAGAAAACGCCAAATATAAACAATTTATTACATTTTCAGACTTATGATCGATCTTGTCATGAGGCAATGTCTGATGTTGCTGGAACGGCAGTTCTTAACAAATCTGTGACACCACTTCTGATGGCCTGCGCTAAATAGAAGCCTTTGATTAGATCTTACATCCGTGATCTATGAATAAACCATGCCATTCAGAAAGTGGTCAAATGTAACTCATGTTATATTTAGTATTACACTTCCTTAGTACAGTACTTTACCTAAACCTAACAGCTGTTACATCCGTGATCTGTGAATACACCATGCCATGTAGAAAGTGGTCAAATGTAACACATGTTATATTTAGTATTACACTTCCTTAGTACATACTTTACCTAAACCTAACAGCTGTTACATCCGTGATCTGTGAATACACCATGCCATGTAGAAAGTGGTCAAATGTAACTCATGTTATATCTAGTATTACACTTCCTTAGTACAGTACTTTACCTAAACCTAACAGCTGTTACATCCGTGATCTGTGAATACACCATGCCATGTAGAAAGTGGTCAAATGTAACACATGTTATATTTAGTATTACACTTCCTTAGTACATACTTTACCTAAACCTAACAGCTGTTACATCCGTGATCTGTGAATACACCATGCCATGTAGAAAGTGGTCAAATGTAACACATGTTATATTTAGTATTACACTTCCTTAGTACAGTACTTTACCTAAACCTAACAGCTGTTACATCAGTGATCTAATGTAACAGAAATGGGAGAACCAAGTGGGTGTGGTTAAATTACATCATATTACACCAACTGTCGGTTGTCCATATTTGGGTTGTCGATCCCGGATTGGGAGGTCGTCTTAAGACGATGCCGTATTGGCCATTCATATTATACGCATGAATATTTATTAAAAGGTGAACATCCTCCATTTTGTATTTCTGATGATGACAAATTTACAGTCAAGCATGTAGTGTTTAATTGTGAGGATTTGTCCATCACAAGGGATAAATATTTGAAAGTTTAAACAGTAAAGGACTTATTTAGCATAAATTCGTGTATTATCAGTAGTTGGTCGAGGGTAATCCGTTTTTGAATGAAGGCATGGTATATGTGGACATATGTCATAGCTGTGCATAACGTCTGCAAATAGTAAGTATGCCCTGACACGCTGTGTTGTTTGCACTGTACAGTACATTCACACGATGGTTCGTTACTTGTGTCACAGTTGCCTTTGTCATGAATTATTATACAGAACAATACAACTCATGCAGTAGGTGAGTGAGTGAGTGATTTTAGGTTTACGCCGCTATCAGCAATATTCCAGCTATATGAGGGAGGTCTGTACATAATCGAGTTTGGGCCAGGCAACCCAGTGGTCAAAAGCATGAGCATCGGTATGCGCAATTGGGATACGATGACATTGTGCCAAGCCTTGTCGGTGAGCCTGCCCACCCGATCCTAATCGACTTTTATGACAAGCATCCGTTCAGAAAGATCAATTCTGCCCCGGATCTACACGGGTCACATGAAATGCAAATAGTAGAGGTACTTGAATAACTTGATAAACCCAACTGCTGATACTGCGCGTTAGGTACCGTTACAACAGCTCGTGGCTCATCTGCTTGCTATCTGGCCCGGGTTTGATTTCCCACATTGGTACAATGTCTGAAACCCATTTCTGGTGTCCGCCGCCGTGATATTGCTTGAATATTGCTAAAAGTGGAGTAAAACTAAACTCACTCACTCAATGCTTGTTATCTTCATCTGTCAAATGAGATTTTTTCAGTTAGGTTTATTTATCATAAATGTCAACCTAATGAAACACTCACGTCTTCTCATTCGGCATATAATATGATGTCCTACATCTTTGAATGTAACCTTTCAAAACTGCCGTCCAAGATGTGTATAGAGTTTAACTTTGTGTTTCAGCTCCACCACTATGTGACCTTCATACCGCCTCAAAGACCGGGGAACTGTCAAGGGTGAAATTCCTATTGTCACAGGGACAGGTGGACGTGAATTGTCAAGAATGGATTGGTAGAACACCGGTGATGTGGGCAGCCTGTGGGGGACATAGTGAAGTCGTGGAGTTGCTTGTAAGTAAAGGGGCTAACGTATCACTGGTCGATAGATTCGGCATCAACATCCTTTACTCAGCCTGTCTGGGCGGAGACGTAGATGTGGTGAAGTATGTCCTCTCTCAGAACATGTTGGATATCAATGATACAGTACAGTGCGGGAGAACAGCTGTGATGCTGGCAGCAGCAAACGGTCACAAAGACATGGTGGAGTTGCTTGTGGACAAAGAAGCTGACGTATCACTACTTGATGAAGCAGGTGACAACATCCTTCACTGCGCCTGTCGTGGAGGAGATGTGAAGGTGGTGAAGTACATCCTCTCACAGGAAATGGTTGACATCAACAGTCGAGGATATGGCAAGAAGACGCCAGTGATGGTAGCAGGAGAAGAGGGACATAAGGGAGTGGTGGAATTATTGGTAAAATTTGGAGCTGATCTGTCACTAAATGGAAAATCGGGAAGCAACATCCTTCACTATGCCTGTTCCAGCGGACAATTTGATGTAGTGAAATATGTCCTCTCACTGAACGAAGTGGACATAGACAGCAGGGGATGGAAGAAGAGGACACCAGTGATGGCAGCAGCAGTAAAGGGACATAAAGAAGTGGTCGAATTACTGGTAAAACATGGAGCTGATCTCTCAATCAGTGAAAAATCGGGAAGCAACATCCTTCACCTGGCCTGTTCCAACGGACAATTTGGTGTAGTGGAATATGTCCTCTCACTGAACTCGGTTGACATTAACAGAAGGGGATACATGAAGAGGACACCAGTGATGATAGCAGCAGAAAGTGGCCATAAGGAAGTGGTGGAACTACTCGTAAAACATGGAGCTAATCTGTTACTAACTGATAAACATGGGGACAACATCCTTCACCGTGCCTGTAAAGAAGGACATTTTGATGTCGTGAAATATGTCCTCTCTCTGAACTCGGTAGACATAAACAGCAGGGGGTGGGAGGGAAGGAGACTTGTGATGATACCAGCAGAAAAAGGTCATAAGGAAGTGGTGGAACTACTCGTAAAACATGGAGCTAATCTGTTACTAACTGATAAACATGGGGACAACACCCTTCACCGTGCCTGTAAAGAAGGACATTTTGATGTCGTGAAGTATGTCCTCTCTATGAAGTCGGTGGACATAAACAGCCCGGAAAGGGAGGAAAAGAGACCTGTGATGGGAGCAGCAGAAAGAGGTAAGGAAGTGGTGGAACTGACCAGGAAACATGGACCCAAAAAGAGGTTTCTGACTACTAACTGACAAACATGGACCGAAGACCCGACACCGAGGAGCCGAACGAACGGAAGTGGAAGGACCCAGATGGAAGGAGGAAGGATGGAGCACCAAAACATGGAAGTGGAACTGACCAGAAAACATGGAGCGGAACCCGACAAACATGGACAACGACACAAATAAAAATGGAAGGAAGGACACCAGGAATCACATAAAGACTGATGAAGAATGAAGGACCAGATGAAGATGAAGACGGATCTCCTCAATGGAGGAGGTGGACCCCGACCAACAGGCCACACAATGAAATGACAAAAGACGAGCAACGATCACCTGTCACACGAGAACAATCGAGAATCGAACACAAGAACACAGGAAGAACATACTGGAAACCCACAAGGAAATCTGAAACTACACAAGACTGACCAACCCAGAAGGAGCAAACACATCTGAACACAGCAGCCTGAACTGAAGGACCAGGCAGACCAGGCCAGGAACGAACGACAGCACACAGGAACAACCACAAGACCAAAGAACTGAAGCCACACTGAACACGATCCCTGATCCCGAACCCAGGACCAACCCAAACCCAGAAAGCACACACAAACCAGCACTGACCCACAACCCAGGAAGGAAAACGGAACCAGGAAACCAGCAGGAAAAAAAACAGGAAACCCAGGAAAGCAGGAACCAGAAAAACCAGTGAAAACCCAGGAAACCCAGAAAACCGAAAAAGGAGAAGGAAACCAGGAAGGAAGGAAAGAACAGAAGGAAACCAGAACCCAGTGAGGAAACCAGGAAGGAAAACCAGGAAGAAAAAACCAGAAAACCAGGAAGGAAACCCAGAAACCAGGAAGGAACCCAGCAAACCAGGAGGAACCCAGAAGGAAAGGAAGGAAGGAACCCAGCAGGAAACCCAGCAGGAAGGAAACCAGGAAAAGGAACCGGAAAAGGAAACTGTAGTAGTAGAAGGAAACCAGGAAAGGAAACCCAGGTGAAGGAACCTAGCAGTAAAGGAAACCAGGAAAGGAAAGAAGGAAACCAGAAGAAAGAAACTGAAAGTAAGGAAACCAGTAGTAGTGAGGAAAACCAGGAAAGGAAACTGTAGTGGTAGGAGGAAAGAAGGAAAGAAAAGGAAACCGTAGTAGTAAAGCGAAACTGTAGTAGCAGCAGTAGCAGTAGTAAAGGAAACCAGTAGTAGTGAAGTAGCCAGCAGTAGTAAAGGAAACTGTAGTAGTAGTAGCAGTGGTAGTAGAGGAAACTGTAGTAGTAGCAGTAGTAGAGTAGGGAAAAAACTGTAGTAGTAGCAGCAGTTAGTAGAGGAACTGTAGTAGTACAGCAATTAGTAGAGGAAACCGTAGTAGTAGCAGTGTAGTAGTAGAGGAAACCGTAGTAGCAGCAGTAGTAGTAGCAGAAGGAAACTGGTGAGTAGTACAGTAGTAGAGGAAACCGTAGTAGTAGTGAGTAGTGAGTAGAGGAAACTGTAGTAGCAGCAGTATTGTATAAAGCGAAACCGTAAGCAGCAGCAGCAGTTATAGAGGAAACTGTAGTAGTAAAGGAAACTGTAGTAGTACCAGCAGTAGTAAAGGAAACTGTAGTAGTAAAGGAAACTGTAGTAGTACCAGTAGTAGTAGAGGAAACTGTAGTAGTACAGTAGTAGTAGAGGAAACTGTAGTAGTAGCAGTAGTAGTAGAGGAAACTGTAGTAGTACAGTAGTAGTAGAGGAAACTGTAGTAGTAGCAGCAGTAGTAGAGGAAACTGTAGTAGTACCAGTAGTAGTAGAGGAAACTGTAGTAGTACAGTAGTAGTAGAGGAAACTGTAGTAGTAGCAGCAGTAGTAGAGGAAACTGTAGTAGTACAGTAGTAGTAGAGGAAACTGTAGTAGTAGCAGCAGTAGTAGAGGAAACTGTAGTAGTACCAGTAGCAGTAAAGGAAACTGTAGTAGTAGTTGTAGTAGTAGCAGTAAAGGAAACTGTAGTAGTAGAGGAAACTGTAGTAGTAGCAGGTAAGAGGAAACTGTAGTAGTAGCAGCAGTAGTAGGAAACCGTAGTAGTACCAGTAGTAGTAAAGGAAACTGTAGTAGTAGTAGCAGTAGTAAAGGAAACTGTAGTAGTAAAGGAAACTGTAGTAGTAGTAGTAGTAGTAAAGGAAACTGTAGTAGCAGCAGCAGTAGTAGAGGAAACTGTAGTAGTAGTAGTAGTAGTAAAGGAAACTGTAGTAGCAGCAGCAGTAGTAGAGGAAACTGTAGTAGTACCAGTAGCAGTAAGGGAAACTGTAGTAGTAGTTGTAGTAGTAGTAGTAGAGGAAACTGTAGTAGTAGAGGAAACTGTAGTAGTAGAGGGAATTGTAGTAGTACCAGTAGTAGTGGAGGAAACAGTAGTAGTAGTAGCAGTAATGAAAACTGTAGTAGTAGCAGACTGACTGACTGACAGAGTTTGGTTTTACGCCGCTTTTAGCAATATTCCAGCAACATCACTGCGGGGGACACCAGAAATGGGCTTCACACATTGAACCCTATAGGGAATCGAACCCGGGTCTTCGGCGTGACGACCCAACGCTTTAATCATTATCCCACCGCCGAGTAGTAGCAGAAGCAGTAGAGGAAACTGTAGTAGTAGCAGAAGCAGTAGAGGAAACTGTAGTAGTAGTTGTAGTAGGAGTATCAATCGAGAAGTTTCAGTAGCACGAGAAATACTACTAATAGTAGTGGTAGTAGTAATTGTGGTAAATATCTTGTCTTTCTGGACTGATGTTCAATGAGGCCACGATCAGCATAATGTTTCATGTTCCACTTCATTCATCAGAGTGAGAAATACCCAACATCTATTTAGTTTCTCCAGCCATCCTAGCTGCTAGCAGACGTCCGTGGTCAGGAAGAAGAAGAATATTTTTTGCGTGACTGCATGGTTTTAGGTTTAGGAGGAACTGACTAAGTTCAAAGGTGATAGGCCAAGAACTTCTTGGTTCACACTGAAGGGAACCTTTCCTTTTAGTGAATCCGATAGAACACTTCTGGGACTACCTGGATCGACAAATCAGAAGACTACAAGCGCCTTCTGTCATCGCTCAACAACTGGACCAATGTCTCCCACGTCATTCGTCTTCTTACATCATTAATGCGTTTTGGCGTGCATTGAAGTCAGTGGTGGTCACAGTCACTATTGATTCAACATTTAATGACATTGTGCATAAACCACGCCTTGTTGAATTGTGCAAACGTCCAGACAATGATACCACGTGTGTTTCAGTGTTAATCAAATGGTACTTGCGACTTTGTATAAAATGAAATTGTGTTCATTGGCTGTAGAATTTAAATCAAACAGATGTTTATTATCATATCCTTTTGTTTTCAAGTTTGGTCAAACACACTGTATACTTTCTTTTGAACACAAGTTTAGATCATAAAGGTTTTGCATTTTGGGGCGTGTAATCACTAAAAACAAAGTTTTCACCTTTTACTTCATATAGGCGCGCTTTAGAATCATGCCTAAAATCTTAATTATTCTCCCACAAATAATGTATTTCAAGTAAATTACACAGGAGAGAATATTCATATGGAGAACTTAGTATCAGTGTCTTCGTCATATGCTGTGTGTGGCTAGGGCATTACCTTTGCTGACTATCTTCTGCAAGAGATGCTCCATCTAAAGGCTTTTGATTTCGGTTTTAAGTAGTATTTTCTAAAAACAAAATCAACAGCCTATGAAAGCATGAAACAAATTCGTCCAACAGTGCCGTGATGCTGGCCTCAGGTTGGAGCTCGTGCAGATCTCTAATTAATGTATGGTGCGCCATAAGGGTCAAAACAGATAGAGTTATGCTGTGAATATGAACAGCTTTACAGGGATAAAAAATATACTATTTGTTTTCATGTGTATATGTGGGATCGGATCGTCCTGTACAAAGGCAGCTACTGTCAAATCATTACGTCAAATCCACTACACTCACGTCCATCAAGGCATCCAAGAAGCTCCAGTACATTCAGAAACTGAAGAACATTTCAGATGAAGGCCATGATTCTATTCGGTCACCCAAAGTGTTCTGGCACATTGCTGAAACTTGCTGGCACGAACCTTGGACCCTTATGGAAGATGATACTTCTATTTCTGTTCCTTACAATCTACCACTCATGTGGACAAATGGCGGAAGTGGTAAGTGTCTATGGTATTGGAATCAAGTTGTGTAAACTAAAATGTACTGAAAGAGGAGGCTGTTTGAGTATTGCATACAACATTGACGAGCTTGAGTGTCAGCTGTCATCCAAGACTGCAACAGGTTGGACAGAGAAGGAGGGATACATTCTCTACTCAAAACAAGGAAACCAAGTAAGATATTTTATATCATATTGAACATCAATGCATCAATGTGCAGAAGCAAACAATTTCATTATGCCGAATTCATGTTATACGCTATAGGAAATTAAGTGGTAAAGTTGGTGTTAAACTATGAATATAGATCATTATGATTGATTCAATGATTATTTTGAACTTCATATATGTAAAATAAAATATACAAGCCATGATAGTCTGCATTGCATGCCATATTCAAATACTCCCTTTTCACAAAGAGATTAGGTAATACATAGAAGCCATATGACAAACCAAGTTATTTCATTTGTCACCTATCTTAAGAGCCACGCTCACCAAAGGACTGAATAGAACAACATAGCAAAGGAATTGGAGTTTTGTGCTTTGTTTGTTGTAGTATTTAGCAGGTGCGTACTCCTGATAGAACTATAAATTGAACATATAGTGTTTTGACTACATCATTAGAGGGAGACGTTTTATGATATGTTTTGTTTAGTTTCAAGCAGGTGCGTGTTCCATGCTGAACTGTAAATCGAACACCCGGTGTGTGGAGAGGCGTGGTGGTGGCCCTGTCTGTGTTGACAGTAAGACGGTAGATGGTAAGATTTTTGTGACCAAGCCCTTACTTCATCAAAAGTTCGGGATGTAACGTTTTAGACTCTCAAATCGAGATTTAACATTGTATGTCGTGTATTGGACAATATCAAATACTGACAGTATGCGGCATCTTAATCTGTAAAACATAATGATAATAGTTTTAGAAATGAAAAGATTCCAAAATATATAGTGTTGTAACACTCTGATCAATTGACAATGTAATCAGGCGACAGCACGTTCATCGCGATATGAACGCCAGCTGCCTAGGTGGTGTTCGTCAGGGCGAGGTCCGCTTATTTAGCATGCTTTTCCTGAATCTTGCCAATGACGTTGCTGTCAAAAGGGTCAGAAAACTCAATGATGTAAATAAATTCACTGGCTTTATCAAGAAGGACAAGATCACGTTTGATGGATGGAATACTTTTCAGGCTGTATATGGGCCTATTCCACTGAAGTTTGAAAGCATCATTTTCCATGACGCACTGGACATGTTCAGGGTTGTACCATGGATGGACCTCAGAGTCAAAGCCACAGGCATGGCGAAGACGACAGTAGAAACAACGAAGCATGCCATCATGTCGTTTAAGGTATGCTGTTTGTGCCAAGGAAGGGCGCCCACTGACAAGGTGTTGGACAGTCTCTGTAAATTATTATTATTATTATTACTATCTAAGATATGTGCACAATATGTGCTGTGCGAGGCGGCGTGTTGTGTCGCCGACAGCGCTATTTGCCCAGCAACAGTACATTCCGTAGCATACAACAGCTCCAGTGACCCGAGGACACAGACAGACCGGTGTAAACCGGTTTCGTCATAGAAGGAGAGCAGACTCACTCGCATAAACCGGTTAGTTATACTTGGAAACCAGTTTGTAAAACCAATTTAGGTTTCAGGTGTGATATCATCAAATCCGATTGGTTGGATGGATTTAAGGGGAATCCCCACTGGATTTTCCCCGAACGCCTCGGATTTTCTCGTCAACATTTACTTGGATACTTTGTCAAGGGAAGCACCAGTCTCCGAGGTACGTTGATCTTACATAGTAAACATTGTACCTGCATCATGTCTAGTACAACACCGGTGGCTAGCGTTTAGTTTCTTTGATCGTATCGATTACTATTTCAACTGGGCCATAGTAACCTGCGCAGTCAGAACGACCTGTGGAGTGACAAGGTGGTGTCCTGGCCCTTATTCCGTCATAGGAATGAGTTAGCATTGATACAGGGACATCTCTGCGTGTAAGGTTATTGGTGTTGTGCTTGTGTGCGTGCGTCTGTGTGTGTGTGTATTGGGGATTGGTGGCGATGCAATTATAGTTTATGTTGGCCACCTTATTTTGTGACTATTTTACCATGTTTTCCAATAATCCTTTCCTCTAATAATCAAACACGTGTTTCGGGTAGGGCAAGGGTTAGGCTGGGGTTAGCGTGGCGAACATATCCTATAGCGTCTCCGGATCTACTCGACAAACTGTCGTTTAACTAACTAGCGATCCTTTGCCCCTTTTTATAGATTGCTTGTCAATCCATAGTTCAAGTTTTGTCACGCTCGTGTTAAAAGAAGAGATAATCTACTTGCTGAACTGTCCTTACGTTACAGCTTTTCATAAAATATTGTAAGGTTTATTCTTATTTCATTAATTTCTATCGTCACGATATGACTGAAATATTGCCGTTGTGATGTAAACTTCTGACTCCCTCATTCACTCACTTAAACTCAGGAATCAAACAAATTCAACGTGTTTCCATAACAACGGGTATCTTGAAATACCACGCTACTGCAATAGTTATTTATAGCCTACAGAGACATCGACTGCCTTCCACGTAACACAGCTTCAAGTCTAGTTATAGTTACTTCGTCCTTATCAACAAACAACTTGTGACCTACTTTGACGGGTTACGCTCGACTGCGGTAACATAACAATGACATAGCTATTTTTAGGTCAGACGGCTGGGTTTGTACCCTCAGATTTATAGGGTGTTGATTTCGCCAGCCATAAACACAGGTACTCTGTCCTGTCGTATCATAGCGTACTGGGTGTGTACTTAGATACATGTTAGAAGTTATTTTAAGTGTCTGTGTGTATAAGCATCAAGTACTTGTCAATCACTACTGACACAGGCCAACATTTGCTGTCAAGTTAAGGTATGGTTTACCAGCAGCAATGTTCCGACGACCTTTACAGGCAAGAGAAGACAAAGTCCACAGTATCAATACTTATCATGAGATATATGATCATCATTTTTTTGTGTTTGTTGTTGTTGTTGTTGTTGTTGGTTGCGGCGGGGGCATAGCCTAGTAGCCTAGTTTAAAGCGTCGTCGAAGACCAGGCGTGATATTGCTGGAATAGTGCTAAAAGCGACGCAAAACCTCACTCAGCCACTCACTCACTCACTCACTCACTCACTCACTGCTGTGTAATGTTATACGTCACGAAATTTATGCTATATAACGACGGCCTGCACACAGTCATGTCCGGACCAGGTCTTAAGATCATTTTTGTGATCAATCCATGACGTTGCAGCGAGACTAAATCAAGCAAATCAGTATATACTGGACAAAATAAGTTAGGGATATTGGTTTTATGATTGATATTGTATCAGTGTGTCAATGAATATACATAGATCATTATTCATAATTTCAAAATGTACATATATCCCTAACTATTTTTGTCCAGTATATATATTTATATAACCGAGAGGACACTTAGGTTCATTCAGCATATACGACTGTATTTGCAATTACACTTAAAGCATCCAATACCTGCATTGATGTATATTTGTTTACCGTACTGTGTTACATGGCATTACAGACACACATTACTGGACTGGATTACGATTATGACATGTATTAGTGTACAGCCCTTTAAAATCAGCATACAACTGACATATTAATAAGGACTCGAGTGTTTATATCACAAAACTGACACGTTCAGCTTTCTCTTAAGATATCTCCCATCTCAGTAAAGTGTTTATGTGCCTGATTCTTGCAAATGCAAAGGATTTATTTGATACATAAAGTAAGTATTGCTTTCAGTAAAACGATTGCTTTAAATCGGAATGGGTTCATCGAGGGAGAACAATGTCAGTTTTGAATGACCCAACATTTGTCAGTTCAGAGTAAAAGCATCCATGAAATTATCTGGTATCATGTCTATAAACATATGAACCATAATTCATGCTCAACAGACGATGCCAAGGTTGCACTTTTTGATCGTCAGGGTAATATAATGTGGTTGTTACGGGCATTTTAGCTACTTTAATCCAGTATTTTTTTTTCATCTTGGCAGAAATGGTTAATGGGTATCGTCAGTATATATAAGATGTATTAGGTACTAGGTTTGACACAACGGAGGGGTAGCCTAGTGGTCAAAGCGTTGGCTCGTCACGCTGGATTCGATTCCCTGCATGGGTACAAGGTGTGTCCCCGCCGTGATATTGCTTGAATATTGCTAAAAGCGGAGTAAAACCAAAAAGTCACTCACCCACACCACGGAAGCTGCTGCATGAATATAGACGTACTGTGTTAATGACATCAAACATGTATAATCTCCTTATAGTCTGTTCGGAACATGTATAATCCCCTATAGTCTGTTGGGAACATGTATAATCCCCATATAGTCTGTTGGGAACATGTATATACCCCATATAGTCTGTTGGGAACATGTATAATCCCCCTATAGTCTGTTGGGAACATGTATAATCCCCCTATAGTCTGTTGGGAACATGTATATACCCCATATAGTCTGTTGGGAACATGTATAATCCCCATATAGTCTGTTGGGAACATGTATAATCCCCCTATAGTCTGTCGGGAACATGTATAATCCCCCTATAGTCTGTTGGGAACATGTATAATCCCCTATAGTCTGTTGGGAACATGTATAATCCCCTAGAGTCTGTCGGGAACATGTATAATCCCCTATAGTCTGTTGGGAACATGTATAATCCCCCTATAGTCTGTTGGGAACATGTATAATCCCCCTATAGTCTGTTGGGAACATGTATAATCCCCCTATAGTCTGTCGGGAACATGTATAATCCCCCTATAGTCTGTCGGGAACATGTATAATCCCCCTATAGTCTGTTGGGAACATGTATAATCCCCCTATAGTCTGTCGGGAACATGTATAATCCCCTATAGTCTGTTGGGAACATGTATAATCCCCTATAGTCTGTCGGGAACATGTATAATCCCCTATAGTCTGTTGGGAACATGTATAATCCCCTATAGTCTGTCGGGAACATGTATAATCCCCTATAGTCTGTCGGGGAACATGTATAATCCCCTATAGTCTGTCGGGAACATGTATAATCCCCCTATAGTCTGTTGGGAACATGTATAATCCCCCTATAGTCTGTTGGGAACATGTATAATCCCCCTATAGTCTGTTGGGAACATGTATAATCCCCCTATAGTCTGTTGGGAACATGTATAATCCCCCTATAGTCTGTTGGGAACATGTATATACCCCTATAGTCAGTTGGGAACATGTATAATCCCCTATAGTATGTCGGGAACATGTATAATCCCCATATAGTCTGTTGGGAACATGTATAATCCCCTATTGTCTGTTGGGAACATGTATAATCACCGTATAGTCAGACGGGAACATGTATAATCCCCTACATTCTGTTGGTAACATGTATAATCCCCTATGCTCTGTTGGGAACATGTATAATCCCCTATAGTCTGTCAGGGAACATGTATAATCCCCTATAGTCTGTCGGGGAACATGTATAATCCCCTATAGTCTGTTGGGAACATGTATTATCCCCTATAGTCTGTCGGGGGACATGTATAATCTTCCTATAGTCTGTTGGGAACATGTATAATCCCCTATAGTCTGTCGGGAACATGTATAATCCCCTAGAGTCTGTTCGGAACATGTATAATCCCCTATAGTCTGTTGGGAACATGTATAATCCCCTATAGTCTGTCGGGAACATGTATAATCTCCCTATAGTCTGTTGGGAACATGTATAATCCCCTATAGTCTGTCGGGAACATGTATAATCCCCTAGAGTCTGTTCGGGAACATGTATAATCCCCTATAGTCTGTTGGGAACATGTATAATCCCCTATAGTCTGTCGGGAACATGTATAATCTCCCTATAGTCTGTTGGGAACATGTATAATCCCCTATAGTCTGTTGGGAACATGTATAATCCCCTATAGCCTGTCGGGAACATGTATAATGCCCCTATAGTCTGTTGGGAACATGTTTAATCCCCAAACTGCTGCTATAATAAAACTGGACTAAAGCTGGTATCGAACATTTTAAAGACCGGCCTTCCATGTTAAATACAGGTCCGATTGTGTCTGAATGTAACTGAATCCCTAATGACAATGTTTCCGTATTAAAAAACCCCGAAAGAAAAGCAGGGTCAAGAATCATCCTTGTCTTACTACTAATTTGACTTGTACGAAGGCGCATTAAGATCAGATTTAATTTCTTGTTAATACGGAAATGTAGCAAATATCTGGCTTATTATAAAGAAAAGAAGGATTTGTTATAACACAGGTGGTCGTAGTGTGAAAGTACACATACCTTAAAAGAAAGAGATTGCTAAAACGCCCTTGTGAACATAGCGAACTTCTCTATCTCTCATTCAGTTGTTGGAGATCAATAGCCCATTTTCACATTGTATAGACCAAAGAATGTTTTCTACCTTTAAAGATATATGCTAGCTAGTTCTAACTCATTTTCTGATAATCTAGTACATATACTGTCCTTCTTTGACAGGGTTTTATATATTATATGTATGCATTATGAATTTAAAACTAGTTTTAGTCACGATATGGCTGAAATAATGCCGATGTGACTTTAAATCTTAACTCACTCACTCACTCACTCTTTCTCAAAAGGGGCGTGGGGTAGCCTAATGGTTAAGGCGTTGGTTCGTCACGCCGAAGACCTGGGTTCGAATCCCCACATGGGCACAATGTGTGAAGCCCATTTCTGGTGTCTCCCGCCGTGATGTTGCTGGAATATTGCTAAAAGCGGCGTAAAACCAAACTCAGTCAGTCAGTCAGTCAGTCAGTCAGTCTTTCTCAAAAATAGGTTCCAGGATATGGCGGAAGCTTCGGAGACGTCGGCAGTGAGCGGACAGGCAGTTGCTGTCGGTGACCACAACAACATCACCGTAGTGCATCAGGGCTTTCCGCAACTGCCTCAGAACCTCCCCGCTGGTACCCGCATCAACGTCAACTACAGCATCGTCGTCGGCGCGGAGTCTGGAGCAGCTGCGTCGGCAGCGGAGGAACAACAGCCAGCTCCTCAACAACAGGAAACAGAGCAGGTGCGTGCGGAGGAATGTTCTTTTAAGGCGTTTAATGTGTTCATATTCCTTGTTTAGTCTTAAAAATCTCTTGCTTTGCAGACACATAAGTGGAAACATAAAACTAAAACAGTCTCTGTGAGGCAGATCTACTTTCAGTTGTAGGGGATCTATAGTCTGTTTTAATCAAAAAATATCACTTTAATGATATCCTTTTTCTGTTCACCTGCTAGTTTTAACATTGCATCTGTGATACTAGTTTACTGTCCATTTCAATAATGCAAATAATATAATACTATTATTATACCTTTTAATAGTCTAAATGTATTTATCTTTATGCATACAGGGAGACAGTTGAAAGGAATCAAGAGTATTGCAAAGTACTAACACATTTCCCTTTTTCAACTGACACAGTGTAGAACAGGTTTATTTAATAAACATACAATTTTAGAACTGATTTTATAAAGTGTGAGTAACAAAATAACACATGAGGAAGTCTTTACAATATCTTTACATATCAATGTATATTTAAGAAAAATACGGATATTACTGTTGTTACAGGAAAGACATTGTGTCTTCGCCCTAATTAGTTTCATTACTCTTCATTAAAATACTGGACATAATTAAGCCTCAAATACTATTGATAAGTGAACCTGAACAATGTAGCTTACCATTTGTGACAATAAAGATTGACGATTTTGCATTTCAATTACTTGCTCTTTCGTACGCCAAATAGCTGCAACTTTTGAGAATGACTCATATACTCATGATATGACCGATGTCACCCTACATATTAACTCACTCACTCAGTAATTACTATCTTCCTTGCAACTAATCCAACCCCTGTCAACGAAAAAATCAACACATCGCAAGAAAAAACGCAACGTGACCCATGTTATCATGCTAATATTGTCCGGTAAATCCAAAATATTAACATACGAGTCAGGAACAACTAGTAGGCTTGATTTACGGTCTACTTTTGAGAACCTATTCATCTTTGATTATATATTTTGACATTCAGGACCTGACTTCAATGGGGATGTCCATATAATTGTTGAGGTTAAAGGGGTCCGCTGTGTCTGTATGGATTCCCTATGTAAACATAAGATCATTTGATATCTTTGTCCAGAGAACAAGAGCAGAAGTTCAAACCAGTCGACCTCCTGGACCACTCGGTCAAGGTCAAAGGAATCCGACCGGCAGTCAACAATTAACCAGACAGGCAGCAGTGACTGACAGGGGTCAAGGTCATTTAGAAACAGGTCAAGGTCGACCAAGTTTTGACCAACCAGCCAACAACGATGGTCTCCCGTATTCCCTGTACCCAACAGGTGTCCCTGGCTCAGGGCCCCAAGCCATGACTCAAGCAAGACGACCACCTGACCGGGCTATCAGTACCCCTATTCAGGAAACAGATACCCGCGAAGCCCGTTCGCCTTTCGTCCGTGCTAACACCTTCCCAAGTAAGTGATGGAGCAGTCGCAGCTAATCTCAGTGAGAGAGTGAGTGAAGTGAGTTTAGTTTTACGCCACAGTCAGCAATATTCCAGCTATATGGTGGCGTTCTGTAAATAATCGAGTCTGGACCAGACAACCCAGTGATCAACAGCATGAGCATCGATCTGCGCAATTGGGAACATATGACACGTGTCAACCATTTTAGCGAGCCTGACAACCCGATCCCGTTAGTCGCCTCTTACGACAAGAATAGTCGCCATTTGTGGCAAGCATGGGTTGCTGAAGACCTATTCTACCCCGGATCTTCACGGGTCAGCTGATCTCAGAATTAAATCAGGTGTTGTTGCTTTATTGTTCAATCTCGCCACCTTCGATCCGGCTTCCCATCCCTTTAATAATTGCTTTGCTTATTGAATATATATGAAGATAATATTCAGGCTTAGGGGCGTGGTGGGCGAGCTATCTAAGGCGCCAGGCTAGTGATCCGGCGAGCTTGAGATGCCGGGATCGAGTCCACCTCTGACCTGGTGTAAAAACCTTGGAGTCAACTTTGTGTGCAGATTCTTTCAGTGTTGTCACACCTCCAAGTGTACAGTGCACAATCCACGAATCCGTAATGGTAAATGACCAGATGGTGGCCACATGAATACGTGCAAACACCTAGTTTCGGGTACAGCAACGAGCAGTAAACTTGGACAAAATACTGTGACTATGTGTCCCAGTCCATCCAGCTGTGAATGAGTAAGCCCGGTCAGGTGGTCGTCTTGCTTGAGTCATGGCTTGGGGCCCTGAGCCAGGGACACCTGTTGGGTACAGGGAATACGGAGACCATCGTTGTTGGCTGGTTGGTCAAAACTTGGTCGACCTTGACCTGTATCTAAATGACCTTGACCCCTGTCAGTCACTGCTGCCTGTCTGGTTAATTGTTGACTGCCGGTCGGATTCCTTTAATCTTGACCGAGTGGTCCATGAGGTCGACTGGTTTGAGCTTCTGCTCTTGTTCGCCACAAGGCGCAGCTAGTTATTGCGGCGTTCCCATCCTTACGAGGTACCCATTCACATCTGGGTGAACTGGGACACATAGTCACAGTACTTTGTCCAAGTTTACTAGGTGTTTGCACGTATTCATGTGGCCACCATCTGGCCATATACCAACGGATTCGTGGGTTCTTTTAAGTGCACAAGTTTGTGTACTGTACACTAGGGTTGTGACAACACTGAAACACTACACACAACGTTAATCATTGGCATAATGTCGCAATTATATTGGTAACAATGCGGTTATAGGTTTTTAGAATCGTGTTTGTATGTTTACCCAGCGTACGTTCCACATTTCAGAGGCAGACACACCTGTGAAGACTGTATACCAGAGAGCCGATAGTGCGGACACCAGATCCTGCCCCTACCCCCTGTCTCCCCAAGACTGCCCTCAACAAGCCAACTCCCAGGAACCGGTTGCTCGTTGTCCACTGCCCAAATCATCCACGTCTCCAGCAGCGTTGACGTCAATAAACACAAGAACGGCCCAGGACGCTCACACCCCCGAGCTGACTGACATCCTCGTGATGACGGTGCAGGACGCAAAGGTTGCCATGGTTCTCGACATGGCAAACAAGAGCATAAAGAGCGTGTCCCTTTCCGACAGATCTGTACGGTCCCTGGACCTTAGAGCCATACCGGTTTCATTCACTGCATTCGATGAACTGAAAGTCATTGTGAGTTTCATGGATATGAAGACTCTCAGCATCATTGACGTGAACAGGATGGTGGAGGTGAGCACTCTCCAGACTCCCAGAACAATACTGTGGAGTCGCTGTAGTCGACAACGGGAAGGTCGCTGCTTGTTGCCAGGAGACCCAGTCTGTTGAGGTTATCAGCGTTCAAGGACAGGTCCTTAAGACGTTCCGACTTGGGTCAACTCAAAACCCGAGTGCAGTTACCGTGTTCTCTACAATAACAGTGTCAGATTGGCGGAGCAACACCTTGGTTTGTCTTTCTAGAGACGGCCAGGAAGTTTTCAGCGTACGACTGGCTGACAACAGTAGCTCCAGGCTGAGAGGTATTGTTCATCATGGAAGCGACATACTTGTAGCGGACGAGGGTGCGAACAGAGTCCTGAGATTTGATTCCACCGGACAGTCTGTGAATGTTCTGTTGGACGGTGAGGACACAGTGACCAAGCCGTGCGGACTGTGGGTGCAGGAACATACACTGTACATTGCTCAAGCAGATGGGGTCGTTAAGTATTGGGAGATTTCCGCTGGTTGAGGTGTTCAGTACTCGAATGTAACCATCCAGATCTTGCATTTCGAATTGTCCACTTTCTGACCGATGACTGGAATTGATCTTCAGTAACCCATGCTTGTCGTAAGAGACGACTAACGGGATCGTGGACGATGTCGCATCGGTCACAGCAGGTATACTGAAGAGTATTTGTTAAAAGGCGAAGATCCTCCATTTCGCATCCTTTGTGGCAAAAATAATTTACGGTCATGCATGTGTTGATTTTTCCATCACAAGGGAAAATATTTCGATGTAAAACCGTTGAAGGATCTTTTTAGTAGTGTTAACTACGATTGTTTTACTCAGTTTTTACAAGAGATAGAGTTAATTGAAAAACAATTTCATTGATATGTTTTGTAGATATGTCATTGTATGATTGGTAGTTTAGTTTAGTAACTGCGATTGTTAGGGGCTGTAACCTCGAAGGGGGTTGAAGTATTGTAAAATGATTGTCCTCCTGAGAGGGTACGGAAGTCCCAAAACTAATTTAAAGCAAGCACATTTAAATGTTTTAACCGCAATATGCATGTTATTGTAAGTTATGGCTAGATTGTTAAAAACTGCAAATAGCTGAAGGTATGGTGTAAATCCAGCTAGGGTCAATGCTGGAAGCAAAAGCACTGTAAGTCCCCATGGTCCCTAGTATGGTGGTCTTCCTTCAGTTGGTGGCACTCTATTATATTGTCTTGCCATGTATAGGTAAAATGTTTTAAATTTGATTACTGGTTTTGAATGTATATTTGTGATAAACTGGTTGTTTTATTGTCCTTCGTTGACAGTTTTTATATAATTTACCTTTAATTATTATTAATCTATAACTTGATATAGTCAGGAAATGGCTGAAATACTGCCGATGTGACTTAAAATTTTAACTCGCACACTTACTGACGGGATCCGGTGGTCAGACTCGCTAACTTGGTTGACACATGTCATCGTATCCCAGTTACGTAGATCGGTGCACATGCTGTTGATCACTGGATTGTCTAGCCCAGACTCGGTTATTTACAGACAGCCGCCGTATAGCTGGAATGTTGCTGTGTGCGGTGTAAAACTAAACTCACTCTCTCACCCATTACAGATGCAATATTTAAATACGAAAGCATATGCAGTGTGAGTGGCAAGAAATGGTTAACAATCAACATTGTGCCTTACTGTTAAGTTGTCGCCTTATTGGGAGTGGTCAGTACTGCCATATGACGACTTCACGCTGACTCGTCCAGTCAGCAGCACAGGCCCTCGTGTCTTTGCGAGGATTAAAAAATGTATAAAATATATACAAAAATTTGAGATGACCTCCCGACTCGAAATGCTTCACAGTTTAATACATTATGACATGATGTATTGTACTGTGAAGCATTTCGAGTCGGGGGTCATCTCAAAAACAATATATTATTTTAATTAATCATTTTAATCACAATCCAAAGACATGAGGGGGTGTGGTCAGCAGTTGCAAGTCATTTCAACGTACAAAAGAGCACCACATTCCGTTTATGGGACGAGTTTACCCGACTCAGATCAATCAGTTGTACGACGGGAGTTACAATCCCTGCACAGGATCAATCTTTCATCTCTGTGATTCCATTGCTCATGCATCGAAGACTGCAGGAGTGAGTGAGTGAGTTGGGTTTTACACAGCTTTTAGTAATATTCCAGCAATGTTACTGCGGGGGACACCAGATATGGGCTTCTCACGGGTCTTCGCGGACTAGGAATACACTGGGCTAGAATACCACCTCTACGGCCCCCAGGAAATGTACCTTGTTTAAGGATGATATTGACAAGCCACCACCCTGCACAAGATCCCTTCACCCAGATCTTTCCCCCATCTTTATGCTTCTGCAACTGTGTTTAACAGTCTAACAGTTAGTGTTAGGAATTGGTTAAACTCTCATAATTGATGATTGGTTCATTACAAACCGATCAATCATCGAAAATAATTGGTAAGCGTCATGCATCAAATTTTCCTGGTTATGTTTGATTATGCACAAAAAAAATAAAGAAAAAACATGTAGTTCTTTCGGGGGTTTTTTGTGCAAATTTCACAAAATGCATTTACAAATTTCTCATCTTTAAAGGATGACTAGTATGTTAGGGAGATAAATTTCCAGGAGTCTTTAAGATAAGTTCAAGCATGACTTGGAACAAGCTTGTAGTGGTTATGAAATGTAACAGACTCAACCAACCTTGTGAAAAATATTGTTAATGCAAACAAGTGACCCCAAACTGTTTGAGTTCGATTATGCGAAAACTTGATCGATTACTTGGTCGCTTAGTCACCGCGGCCAATCTCCGATTATTTCAATTAATCGGACCACCACCACAGGCCCTCGTGTCTATGCGAGGATTCAAGATTTAAATACTATTGTTTTTGAGATGACCCCCGATGAACCGATGGGCTTGCTTCGATCACACCCCGTTTTGTGCTGATGTATCGTCATCCATTTGTGTCAAGATCGTTTAGTTGAGAGTCAAAATCGGGTTTCAATCGACTTGCAGAAATAACAATACAGAATTGGTAGGTGTCATGAGTGATGCTCGATAGGCCAATCATCCATGATTATGTTTACATTAAGTTTTAATCAATTGCATGCGATGGTTGCGAAGTGATCGGCAAAGCAGTTGGTCAGGGTGCACCGAAGTGTCCGGCCTGTCATAATGTATTGTACTGTGAATCATTTCGAGTCGGGGTCATCTCAAATTATTATATATTTATATAAAATCTTTAATCCTCTCAAAGACACGAGGGCCTGTGACAACCAATACTCACAGTTGGGAATCGTCCACAGCTATATGTCAAGTTGTACCGTATGTCTTCTGTTGCCTACTAACTGCATCCACCCATGGGTGACATTCATTTTGTGGAATGGGGCAATTGAACCAGGGCATTGCTTTGTACTAAAGAAATTACTGGAACGTTGCTATGCTTGTCGTAAAAGGCGACTAACGGGATCGGGTGGTCAGGCTCGCTGTCTTGGTTGACACATGTCATCGGTTCCCAATTGCGCAGATCGATGCTCATGCTGTTGATCACTGGATTGTCTGGTCCAGACTCGATTATTTACAGACCGCCGCCATATAGCTGGAATATTGCTGACTGCGGCGTAAAACTAAACTCACTCACACTCACTCAGTTTTATATTGTCATGCACACACGTATTGGAAGTCCTCGCGGTCCATAGTATGCTGGCCTGTCCGTTACATGTTAGTGTGATATTCTAATTTAGTTTTAACAAATCTGTGATAATCTAGTAATTTTAGGACCCTTCACTGACAGGGTGTTATAAATTATATGTATTTATAATGAATGTAGAACTAGTTTTAGTCACGATATGGCTGAAGTATTGCCGAAGTGACTGTAAATCCCAACTCACTCACTCTAACACTTGTGTAAAGGATTAGGGGCGGTGGGGTAGCCTAGTGGTTTAAGCGTTGGCTCGTCACGCCGAAAACCCGGGTTCGATTCCCCACATGGGCACAATGTGTTAAGCCCATTTCTGGTGTCCCCCACCGTGATATTGCTGGAATATTCCTAAAAGCGGCGTAAAACTAAAAACTTTCAAAGAATAAAACCGTAAACCCTATCAACGGATATGACTAAATGTAGATAATGAAATTAGTTTCATGAAAAATATCTAAACGATACGCAAAATATACTGAAAGTGTAATCGGTGGGACATGGCGATTGTGGCCACTCTGATTCAACCGACCTTCACCTCAAAGAAATTGCCAAATATGTACAACAATGTTGACGTATGAAATCACTACCTATGACCGATTTCTTACAAATGGCGGCTTTGCTGACATGGGTACGCAGGATTTTGCGAGGACCTTTCCCTTGATTCAGAGATCGTTTGTACATGAATATGTGATGTAAGTAATCAGAATGATTCTGACTATCTGTCTGTTGTTATGTCTTTATCGTTGTCATTTTAAGTAAGAAAAGAAGCCAGAAATGCCGATAACTACCGTTGTCGTTCTGCGTGATTTTGCGTCAGTTATGGCGTCACGCTGCACAGAAACTTTGACAATTTCGTATAAACATATCGCATAACTGTATTTGTATCTATTTTTAATTTGCTATTTCTTGCTAGATACTCTTTCCATGCATATTCTAAAAGTATTGAGTCTATGCATGCTTCAAATAGAGGAATGGATGGCTGAAAATTTGAGAAAATGATACACAGTGTACAGTCTAAATTTTTCTTTGTCTATTTCAAACAGCGTTCGTTTTCACACCCAATATGGTGACAAAGACCATTTCTTATTTGATACTAAAATGTATGAGGAAATCAGTGATGCATTTGTCGCTGCTGAATATGAAATATACGTGATGTATACGTATATTGGCGTCTCAATATTGGCCCTCGCGAAACGTGGTTTTATTAACACTATCCAATATGGCGGAAAGCGCACTGGCGTTAGTGTTACTGTATTTTCGAAAACATCCCATCCGATTGTAGGTTCGTCGGCAGCGTTTCAGAATTATTATCAGAGATTTCATGAAAAACTTACATCAGTGATCATTAACATGTTATTGTTGAAATTCAATACTCCGAGTAATAATAACTATCCGATTGTTACATTTCATAACATACATCAAATAATCGCGAATCGTAATTTTGTAATGTGTCAAAAGCGGCGACATTTACGATGAAGTCTATTTTGAAAGGTCTTTTACAGAACTTTAGCTTTGACTAAGATAATAGTGGATGGTATCGAGAAACAGGACTGACTGACTGACTGAGTTTGGTTTTGCGCCGCTTTTAGCAATATTCTAGCAACATCACGGCGTGGGACACCAGAAATGGGCTTCACACATTGTACCCATGTGTGGAGTCGAACCCGGGTCTTCGGCGTGACGAGCCAACGCTTTAACCATTAGGCTACCCCACCGCCCTCGAGAGACAGGAAATTTCCCACAGAATTCGAAACTGTGAAGACTATTTGTGTGCGTGAAATATTTCGAAATTTATTTGATTTCAAAGTGAGGGTTGAAGAGGAAGGACATGTATGTTTTCACAACTGACACTGCAGATCTGCTTAATGATCATTGCGGAATAACTAGCATATCAGCCGTTGGGATGTTATTTCAATTTCAGTCATGTTTTTGAACAATTGGTCCCTGTCGTGTACAATTCCTTTGCTGCTATTGAGAGTTCTGTGAGATGTGACTGAAATTGGACAAACGAAACAATCGACATTAGGTTAATAGGTTTCTTGCTACATTCTATCAACATATATTCTGATCTCAATGATCTGATGTTCTTAACCTCAATAGCTAAGCCATGAATACCCTAGGTTATTGCAAAGAGTTTCAGTTTAAGACGTGTCTTATGAATTGTCTCAATCACAAGACCATGTGGCTAATATTCTCAGTTCATCATCATAGTTGACGTTTCGATTGTTTTGGTGGAGGTATTTTGTTCATCATTTGAGCTCCCCACCCTCCACGTAGTATCACAAAGACAACGCTAAATACAAGTGGACCTCCACCGTGACGTACCAAGGCTACCCGGATGATATACTCCAGCAGACAATATAAACGTTAATATTCAACTAGACTGGGGATTTGCATTCTAGGCAAATTATGAAGGGAAGCTGCTCATTGGAAATTCAAACTAACATTTAGCCAAGACATCTGACAGAAATTCCAAATATTTTATTCAATCTGAGCAACACGATATAGATGCACAGAACTTGACATGACCAGTCGATTTACCGGTCCATTCTACCGCCCGTCTGGAGGAAGTCGAAGTGGTGAATTGGTCAAAGGAATGCTATTCCTGGAACCAGTGTCCTCAACATATTTCGTCACAATTATTTCAAAATTGTTTAACAAAGATTTAAATACAGAGAATTCATACCGAAAATTAATTCAACCGACAGCTGATTATTGTATGATATATCTTATCTATCTGGAACAATTTAATGTAAACGCCATTGAATAGAAGAGAAAAAAACAACATATTTCAGAGGGTGGGTATTATATCTACCAGAATAACTTTACTTACTAGGAACAAAGCATGGAGAAATGTGCATACGTATACCTTCAAGAGAACCTTAATGGCCTTGTTTCTTTCTCATTTTCAAGTATGCTAATTTTGTTCGTTTCACACTTCAGTCAACAAAATTCGCATATGAAATATCATTACATCTTGAACTGTTCAGTGTAAAATTTCACCGGCAGTGAAGAGTTATTCCCCATTTTCAAACAAAACAGTTTCCATTTTGCAGGAAAATGGATTACTGAAAATCGGTGAAAACACGTTGAAAGTAAAAGCATGAAATGATGTCATGGTAATTTAAGCGTTAATCTTATAGATGGATATCTTGAAGTGTCCTCCACACATCAAGCTCCTGTCGCCTGAACAAGCAACATTGCATTCCTTTTCTGGCATCTTGTTGTAGGAAGATTTGATGACATCACTGCAGTAGCATTCAGCCCCGATCTGTAATGAGAAAAAGTAAGCATCGCAAGCCAATGCTTACCACAACCAACTTGATGCACCTTTGTATTTGGCTGAATAGCTTTTCTGCCCAAACATTTCTAAAGTCCTGTTACAGGTATTGTCATTAATCTGCTACATTCTAGTACAAAATAGCAAGTTTCCTGGTAGTAATTGTCACATATGCATCTTAATAGTAATGGAAAAGGATGCCAGTGAGTAGTATAGTAGTACTGATAATAATAAGTTTTAATGATAATAATGATAAAATTATATCCATTCTAGAGTGTATAAAATTATCAGACAGGAAGCTTTTAGGAAAATGAGGGAGTTTGACAGATTTGTCAACACTTAAACAGATTTGTTTTTAGTGAAGACTTGAAATATTCCTATATTGCTTCAGATTGACTGGATATGTGTTCCATTTTATGGTTGCTGCAACTCTGACATATTCGTGTCCAAAGATTAAGATTTCCAGGCACGAGCACTCAGCTGCCACATCAGATCTTTAAGACCGTGGTGGCATGCTATTCAGCTCTTTTTTGCTGTTATTGACTGGTTTTGTACCCAAAATCTATGGCATCAAAGGTATGAAACATGAACCATCCATAAAATCAAAGTTAAGAACTCCAAATCGAGCATCTTAAGACGGACACTAGTTATTAACCAATATTGTCTTGAATTGCAAACTAACTTGGAAATCTGTGTCTTTCATCCTCTTTTTACAGACCTCTACACTTCCTGTCCTGTTTGCTTTGTTTAACTTCCCTCCATAAAGGATAAATATTTCAATGTAAACACAGTCTTTTTCGTAAAGTTAATTTTGATATTACTTTTAATTTTTGAAATTGGTTTTGTCAAGTCCCCATGATCCAAAGTATGGTAATTTAACATCAGTTGTTGGCCGTCTACTTGTCCAAGATCCGGGGATGATTTTTGTACCGAGAGAGTCAAAGTCAAAAGATGTTTATTGTATGAAAGGCCTCCGGCCCATATACATGAGAGTTACAGTGATAAAGGAATATTCTGGATATTTACATATATATTTAAAGGGGTATACAATTCGCTTTATAAGAAGATCTCTTTTAGCTAATGCATATTTTATATATAAGGACAATTGAGCAAGAATATTTTCATTATTGGTTTGTAACAAAGATATATATGCATAATGGGGCTGCTTTGCAAGAAGATGGTGCAGTATATATTTCTGTCTTAATTCGTGATAACAAGGACATATCAGGGTAAAATGAATTTCATTTTCTATTCCAACGTTACATAAAGGACAATATCGACGTTCTTTCTGGACAGAGGTTTTTCTACCCTCATTAATCATTAAAGATAACAAACCTAAACGATACTTTACGAACATTGTTCTTAAACTATATGTTGTAATTATTGATAAGTATTTTTCTGGCTGGAGTAACGTTTTAAAGGTCCTGTAATCTCATATCGTGAGCTTGAATCTAGGGTGGATTTCCATTCTTGCTTGAACATATCTATTGATCTAACACGAAATTCATTAATAAACCAGTTCACATCGCCAATTGTTTGGCTCAACCATACGAAACCGAAACCGTGAGAAAATAATAAATTTCTGATATCAGTTACCCAAGTGTGTTTTCCCAAATTATCCAGATTTAAAAGCATATTGTAAGCTAATTTTGGCAGACGTTGTTCGTGCATATTTAGAACCTTAAACCAATATTTTAAACATCTTATGTGAGAATTGATATACAAAGGAAATCTGCCACATTCGCCATATACCATGCAGTTAGGTGTCTTTGAGCTTACATTGAGGTTACTTTTTACAGGCTAAAAGATGCACTCTCTCAATACAATCAAAACGCTGAAAACCCCATATTTCAGATCCATATAATAAAATGGGTTGAATCTGAGAATTAAATATCTTAAAAACACATTGGGTGACATAGTTCCAACTTTGTATAAAACCGATAAAACTTGTATTAAAGCCTTTTTCCAAAGGGTATGAACATGTATTCTGATGTAAAGTTGCCTTTCGAAATCCAAAAGGTTCAGTCTTACAATTCAAAGACTGATGATTTTTCGGATTCGTAAGATAATTAGGCTTGTTTTAATATTGTATTGTCTTCCACAGAGAACAAGTTTCAGATTTTCATACTAGTTTTACATCTATATAGTATGACCAGAAATTATTGAGAATTTTAGGAATATGTTTAATTGGATTTCTAGTAAAAACAACCTTGACCAGCTATCAAGTGCTTGGTTTCATTCAAGAGAGACAACTCCGTTAATCCTTTTTCATTAGTTTGTGAAGAGTTTTCCCCCTTTGTTTACTTGCTAGCAGATGACATTTTCAGTGATCCTCAGTATGGATGATTTAGAGAAGACGAAGTTGATTTTAGAGTATTATAACAAGGACATCAGATCAGCTAAAGTGATATCAAGTAGAACAGGCATCCCTTTGTCCACTGTTTATCGTGTTTTGAAAAATATTGTAAATGGATATGGCATTGAGCTCCAGCGAGGCGCAGGTAGGCCCAGAAAATTGACTGTCGGTGACAGGGGGCGGCTTGGTATTCTTGTTTCTAAAAACAAACGAAGGAGTTTAGAAAACTTAAGGCTGGATATGATTGATAGAGGAACTGTGGCTGTCTGTAATGAGACAATTAGAACTGAGCTGCACGCAAAGGGTTGGCAGAAAAATCGAGGAATTCCACGTGTTCTATGGAAAGTTTTGGATTTTCAAGCAGGACAACGACCCAAAACATCGTTCAAAGCATTCACAGGCCTGGTTTCGGACCCCAAATATGACATTATTAGATTGGCCAAGCTTTAGCCCTGACCTAAATCCAATAGAAAATGTTTGGGGACTTATGAAGGAAAGTGTCAATAAGAAAAACCTGACAAATATTGCTGACATGAAAGAAGAGGTGGTCCAATACTGGGACACCATGGACCACGACTTTCTAACTTCTTTGATCAGTAGTATGCCCCGCCACATTGAAGCCTGCATTGCTGCCCATGGTGACTTGACAAAATACTAACTGTTCACCTGTCTTTGAATCTGAATTTATGTTCTGCTAATATTCACATTTAATACGTGAGTAATGAGTGAAAAAAATATCAAAAATACAATCTATAAATTCTCAATAATTTCTGGTTGTACTGTATCTGTGATATTCTAGCTGTTTTTACGGTACAAACTTTTGACAAGTTTGATGTATTATTAATCTATAACTGTTTTGTCACGGTATGGCTGAAATACTGCCGATATGTTTTATGAACTTACATGTAGTCACTCACTGGAGGACAATATTATAACACACACTTTGAGGATACATACACTCACAGTTCAGTTTTATTCTACTAAATTATAATTCATCAAAGTTTATTAAGATATATTAAGTTTTTTAAATGTCAGGAAAGAGATGTTGAACAATACCTTTGGTCCTTTGGCTTTTGGCCTGCGTATCACGTTACACCCTTTGACGTCATTGTACCAGAATATACTGATGCTTATTACGTTTATATGCCTTTTGTTTATATGGACATTGAGCCTTTAACTTTATCAAAGTTTGAGACTGCAGGATGTCAGCGAAAAGTATTTGTCTGCTTTTTGTAATATACTTGCTAACCTGTTTGCATTCATTATTGTACCATACTTTATGAATATGTAGGTTTGCAAAATATATTGGTAGTGGTCTTTTGTATATATACTAAACAGCAAAATAAAAGTCAGTTTGGAATTTTCCTTTGCAGAAACGGATAACTGTAAACTCATCTCCAACTTTATCTGAGCAAAGACATTCCTTCCGAAACTCAAAATTGAACCCAGGAAATGGTCTCAAATGTGCAACCTGACCTCAGAGATGGTACGGTGTTCTCCATGTTTTTCATGCAACTCATGCTGCACGTGCTGCTCACAAGGACCAGCCCTATAAAATGCAACCCCAAACCTGATTAAAACATTCACATTACTACGTCAGCAGGATGCCGTGACACACAGCAGCTCAGAGGAACCAGGCGCTAGGAAGACTTGAAACTGGCCACACTGCACAAGCTGTTGCCAATCACTTCCAGGTCAACGTTCGGACCATCTGCAGGCTGCAGCAACGTTTCCGGGCCACCAACACCACAAATGATCGCCCCTGTACTGGCAGACAAGGGTGGCCACAAGACGACAAGAGTTTGTGCGACAGCATGTACAGAATTCTTTCATTCAGGCATCCGAAACAGCACGCCAGACACCGAAGTCTTAACAGCGGAAACCTCCATTGCCGTAGACCTTACCGTCGACTTATCCTCACCCCTCGTCGTGAACGTCTACAGTTTGCCCTACCACACCAAAACTGGCGATACAATACAACCAATAGAGAACTGTTCTGTTTACAGATTAGAATCGGTACTGCATATCAACTGCAGATGGCACAACAAGAATATAGCGACGACGTGGACAGCGTTACTCAGACCAGTGTGTTATGGAAAGAGACTCATGGGAGGTGCAAGCATCATAGTATGGGGTGGAATAGGCCTGAACCAGAGAGTGGGTCCTGAGGTGTTCCAGAACCTTGGTCCAGGGAGAGGAGGCGGCATCACAGCGGTGGCTACATCGACCAAGCTCTCAGACCCCACGTCATACCACATTGTGCACGTCACCGGAACAACATTTTCCAGCATGATATCGCCCGGGCCCATACTTCCAGAGCTACACGGGACTTCCTACAGCAGAACTATGTCAACATTATGCAGTGGCCAGCCCTTAGTCCTGATTTAAACCCTATTGCACATCTTTGGGATGAAATTCAGAGGAGACTGAATAATGTCATACCATGACCGAACACAGCCGATTTATTGTGCCAGGCCTTTCTCAGAGTGTGGTTCCAGGTGCCAATGGCCTTCATCAATCGATTGGTGCACTCCATGCACAGACGCTGTGCTGCAGTTATTGCAGCTCGTGATAGTCACACTAGATACTGAAGTCAAGAGTCTGAAGGGACTGCAAACGTTCACCTAATGTCGTGAAATTGAGCTGAGTTCTTTATTGATGTGTTATGATATTGTACACAAAAAATGTTTTTGATCCGCCTATTATGTCCTTTTCTGTAATGGTTTTATTACAGTGCCTATCTAATTTTGAATTCGCACTGACGTTTGGGGTTTGTTTTTTTGCTGCTGAGTATATAACAACTGTCTTTAATGTTCCTGACAGATCATGTTTGATATTCCTTCTTGATAAAAAGTGGATCATCACAAGTGATTGCCCCACATAGGTCATCACAGACAATCCACTCAAATTCATTTTACAGGGTTAAATCGAGGAGTGCCAGATCAAGTGCAGAATAAGTTTCAGTGTGAGTGAGTGAGTGAGTGAATGTGGTTGGCTTTATAGTCATGATAGCAACATTTCAGCCATATTTTTATGAGAGTGTGTTTTTTGTAATTGTATCATCACATTGATTAAGTGATAGTTATTATGGGTCACAATGTTTAAAGTTTTGAGTGTGGGTTTTGGCTCGCATTTCGCTTCATATATGTTCAGTGGCAATATTAATTGTAGCCTTTTTTATAGCGCTTCAGAGTTGCCTCCCTTGACAATCTGGTTTATTTATGGCTTCCATTATGCCATGTGTTCCATATGACTGCATAACGTTCTGAGAGAATAATGATGGAGCCTAGTTTTGCTAGAATGCTCGAGATATGTGTAAGAGCTATGTAAAGGCTGCTTGTTGAGTTGCACGATGGGACTTTTCACATGACTGGATTTATGCACATCTGTCTGCCATCGTCAAGTTGTTCAACATTTCAAGACTGACTGTGATTGTCTATTCAACTGCTGTCATTGTAAACATCTTTCATTCAGTATATCTGTTCTCACTGTAAATATCAAGACTGGGGAGTTAATATTTCATATTTGTGACCCTATATTTTAGATTTGTGATTCAATTGCATAGTATTAGAAAACTGTATTGTCATTCATTGTAGCTTTTTGTTCAATATACACTCTTCAAAAAAATGAAACGCAAAACCCAAATATCAATGAAAATTGGGTGTTATTCAAGGACGTGTAGATAAGGGGAAAATTAAGATACATGAATGAAATTTTTTGGAGCAATGCATTGCTATCTTGTCCATACTTCATGAGAATAACAGTCATCACAGTCATTACTGCTGTCCACCGGGTGGTGTTGAAGTCAGTACCTCGTATGACCACCTCCAGCTGCTACCACTGTATGACGTCGACGTACCCGTCTATTGATCTGATTCCAAAGGTGTTCGATTGGGTTTAGATCTGGGGATCTGGAGGGCCAGGGGAGGGTATTGATGTTGTTATTGGCCAGGTAGTCCACGGTGGCACGTGCTGTGTGGGGCCTGGCATTGTCCTGTTGGAAGAGCTGCCGTTGACGGTCAACAAAGTGAAGGACGTTCGGACGGAGAATCTGGTCGATGTATCGATTAGGCCGCCAGATTGCCTTGGACATGCACAAGTTCCGATCTGCGGGTGTATGAGATCTCTCCCCACACCATAACACTCCCTCCTCCGAATCTGTCCACATGTCTGATGCAGTTAGGAGCAAAACGTTCATGACGTCGTGTGTAGACACGGTCTCTACCATCACGTTGCCTGACGAGATAACGAGATTCATCGCTAAACCATATTCGCCTCCAGTTTGCCAGGTTCCATGGCAGCACCGTGATACACCATCTCACTCAGACGGTTCCTGATTGTCTGAATGGACACTCTTAGGGCTCCAAACTGTTCTTGTGCTGTGTCCCGGGCGGTACGATGGCAGTCACGTAGGTGGATTACCCGGAGTTACCGATCTTGGGCAGGTGTGGTGACTCTAGGTCTTCCTGATCTTGGATGGTTATTTGTCGAATTTGTTTGACGAAATCGATCCCACAATCGAGTTATTGTGCTGGGACGAACGTTGAAGATCCTTGCCACCTCACTCTTTGATTCGCCAGCTTGCAATCGTCCAATTGCCTGATTTCGTGTACAGTACTTGCAAAGATCGTGGATGAAATTGTGAGATTCATTTTGGTCTTTTATAGTCACATGCTGTACTCATGCTTTGCATGTGAGAAACAATCATTGTGCCTGATATTCGTGCTGCATGACATCCATGCTCATCATGACAATCCTGATTGATAAAACCGTTCAAAATTATTTTTGGTTGCGTTTGGTCAAGCATGATCTTCTAAAACATTCCAGAAACAATGTGCAACCCTAAAAAAATGTTTGAGTTTACATATGTGTACAAAATTGTAAGTATCATTCTTGAATTTCATTTTGCGTTTCTTTTTTTGAAGAGTGTATTATTGAATATTTTAAACTTGTCAGTGTTTCTATTTTGCTGGTTCAAACGGGACTCTTTTTGTCATACGATATTGTCACTAATACAAGTCATTTTCTGATAATATATTAATTTATATTGTAAATATGAGCGACCATAGTTTTATATTTTTTAATGTTGTCCTTAATAGCTCTAGGTCACATTTTAAAGTTGCATGCTAGTTATAATTCTCTATCAATGACAATCAAGTTTTTTACTGAACCAGTGCCCTCAACCGCCTGAATCTCCTCCTCCACGGAATCAGGGTCCATCCCACAGAAAACAGGTGGACATGTTTTATCCCGAGTCCTCATGGGGATGTTTTTAGTTACAATATGGCTGAAATATTGCTGATGTGGCTTAAAGTCTTAAGTCACTCACTCACTCGTCATGAGGAAGAGCTTCTAGCATTAACCACCCTTCACCATGAGGAGGCTGCTCAGACTGCCAGGGATAATCAGAACAAGGACATGATGAACGTGCATAATAACAAGATGTAGGAAGAGAGAGATTTCAGTACTGGCAACAAAGGGTTAAAAGTGCTAGGTACCACTGACCTTATGCTATTAATAGTAAAGTAGGTGAAACTGGCTATTCTGTGCTAATACCAGGCGATCGGTTCAATACATGCTGGACAATGATTTTACTAAACAATGTCAAAGTGACTGGAATGCACCTTTACTCTGGTGCTGAAGCGTGATGGAACTTATAGATGCTGTACCGATATGAACGGTGTAAATGCTTTTCTAGAACTGACTCTTACCCAATACCAAGTATCAATGACAGAATCAGTCAAGACAAGAACGTCAGCAAGTTTGACTCAAAGAAGGTTTTGGCAGATTCCAATGACAGAGGTGCCAGGCAAGTTACAGCTTTTCTGACTGCAGATGAGCTTTACCAATGCAAAGTTATGTACAACGACCTTCCATAAATGGCACTACCTGCAATCCACTACACCAGTGAAACCATCAGACTTCCCATTGAATGCAAGGTAGAGCTAAAAATGATTCATACCTTCTTTGAATGACTGTGAATTTAGCTAAATACAATCAGCTCTCGTTAATCCGACACTCATTAATCCGACAGTCACGTTAATCCGACAAAAAATTAGGGAACCATTTAAAACAGTGATAATTACTCTCGTTAATCCGACATTCTCGCATTCTGACTCCGACACACCAATCTAGCAACTGATTATTGTAAATACATTGTAAAAACATTCATTCATCCGACAATCAACACAGCCGGTCGGATGATCTGACCGTATACAAACAATTACACGTGAGCGGTAATTAGTTTACAACCGACATGAGTTTTCATCACAAGATGTTTGTCACCAGTACACCACCTGCTAAGCGACCCCTTGTAGAAGTTACGCCATTGATCAAGAAAAAATCTCCTTTTGAAGAAAGACAAACCCCAGACAACACAACAAGAAGTCATCACTTTTGCTGAGTTTGATGTGAAGATTGGACGATCAACCGTATCTGACATCCTGAAGCAGTCTGCTTAGTGGTTGAGCGTCCCTACAACTTATTCCAATGCTTCAAGCTATCTGAGACCAAAACATCGTTGAACACTTTGCAAACATTTCTGACACAGAACTTAGACGTGTTTGATGTTAATGACCATCAAAGACCTTTTCAAGTTATAAATTATATATGTTATGATAAACGCCTGATTGTACATTAGACGTCCACGTGTTATTATGGAATTAGTTCAACATCCGGGTCATAATGGCAGCTGATATGCGGTAAAAACAAACGTGAGTTTTGTGCCAATGTGGTCATGAAATTGATATAAAAAACTGTTCACTTATGTGATTATATATGTATGAATTTACACAGGCACTTGAAAATGTATTGGTCATGTGACTGATCAAGGCCAGGTACAGCCGGTTCAAACAAAAGTGGAATATATTGTAAAAGTCCCCATTCACCAAAACAAGAAAGAACTTCTCACTTGTACATGACAAAAGAGCGAAACTTGGTTTGGACAACAATAATTATTGGGAATTTTATAGCCATTCCTTTGAATTCTTCTTTATCCAAGCACCAAATTTTGAAAAAATCTTTTAAACTTGTAAGAGATACAGGTGACTATAGTTGTTGAGGATTTAATTCGGTCTTATTGAAATTCAATAGGAAATGTATACAGTAACAGAAAACCATTACATGTATTCACAGCAGTCTCAGCGCCAGTTTGAAACACTTGAACCTCCTGCTTTACATGTACATTCGTGATATTCTGAACACTTGATACAATCATAACTCATCTTTATTTTCTTTTGTCTACTGCCATAGTGCTGGAATATTGCTGAAAGCGGCGTAAAACTCATTCACTCACTCACCGACTGTGACTATAGTGCTGTAGCTGTCCTTTTGAAGGAAAATGCCTCAGGTTTTGATAATCCTGGATTTTCAAGGAAATTTGACAAACATCACTGAAAAAGAAACTCTTCCTTTCTAGTTACATTGTACAACTTATGGAACTCTCTACCGTTCGCCTGTTCTTCCATGTTTTGGAAAGTGCTATTGTATTGTACATTTTTTAAGTACCTTTATCTTAGGTACATAAGGGGAGCTAACTCTTTCCTCTCATCTCACCAGCATGGTGTGTGACCATTATTACACCATGTCAGGCCTATTGAATTACTGTTGATGAGAGGTGAATATTACCACCACTGGCTTTATTGTTATAATCAGTGATTAAGTATTATATTACCCTTGAATTTGCACTGCTATAGCAATTCCTTTATACCGATTACTATTGATTTGTGAAGAGTTAATTTTAGAATACAATTGTTAATCACAGAGCATTTCTTTTGTTGTTTGTTGGTTCTTTGACAGACTGATCCACAGTTCAAGTTGGAACTCAAAATGTAGGGAAACACGTATCTATACACATACCTATGTATCTCTGACTGTGTGTGTCCGTGTTCGTCAGACTCGAGATTGATTTGTAACCCCTTTTTGCACCAAACAGTGATTCATGGTATATTTTGGAATTTTATCATGGCATATGAAAATATTTGTGTTTAAACCTAAAGATGTTGTTTAACAATTCTCAGGGAGTTGTAAGTAAAGAAGATGTGTTTTATTACCTCTGTTCCAAAGTAGACGTAATTTGACGCAGTGGCGCATGCAGGTTTCAGTTGTCAGGGCAGTCTTGTCAACCATCATGTTGTATGGAAGTACTCTGTCCCGCTTATCTTCGTAGCATCCCATGTATGACACACATTGACTGGTGACCAAATGTATTATAGCATTAAGTAGCGGTCATAAAGTCATAAAGTATGCGATTATAGTGAGTGAGTTTAGTTTTACGCCGTACCGGTGGTCTGTAAATAATAATTTCTGGACCAGACAATCCAGTGATCAACAACAGGAGCATCGATCTGAGCAATTGGGAACCGATGACATATGTCAACCAAGTCAGCAAGGCTGACCACCCAATCCCGTTAGTCACTTCTTACAACAAGCATGGGTTACTGAAGATCAATTCTAGCCCGGATCGTCACGGGTTGACTAACTGTCGTGAACGCATTGCGATTATAAGTGGAATGTTTTCAAAACAACACTATGTTTTATGTCGACTTCCGGTCATGCAACGCGCGGGGTAGGACGCATTGGCGCGAGCTCCGTCTAAATCGCCTTGAATCCAAGTGATGGCAGCTACACGTAGCCAGAAAAAGTTCAAGGAAGTGACTAACTCATCAAACTTCACTAACCTGGACAGATTTAGGTTAGAAAACGACCATAGGCAGAAATCTCTCTCAGATAAATCAAACGACAAAAAGGCGGGAAACGAAGACAACATGGCAGAAGGCACAGACATGAAAGCCTTTTTCAAGACAGAACTCAACAAACACTCGGACAAATTAACGGAGAAAATGGATAAACTACACGGAGAACTGGAAAACACGAACATTAAAATACAAGAAGTAATGACATCAATCACCTTCAATGCACAGTCCATCGACGAAAACCGTAAGCAGATTGAAACACTAAAATCTGAAGTGGACGAACTTCGTGAGGAGATGGACAGAAAAGACATGTTATTC